TACTTCTTCCTCAGGTTGGCCACTGGGAATAAACCATATTTGACACGGGCCAGCCAGACATGAGGTTACTCACTTGGGGACAGTGAGGGCTGGCAACAAGAACATCACAAGCACATTCCTACAGGGACTGTTCACAAAAGGTTCACAGATGCCTGTAAGTGAGGAATAAGTCTGCTAACCAAGAGATGCAGGAATAAATGCAGTGAGCACTGTGCCAGGCTCTAAATCAGCTGGTCACCCACTCGTGGCTGTGCTGGTCTCAGTCTTAGACTTGAAATAAGGTCTTATGAGACAAAGGGCCAGCAAATGACATATTGTTAGGTCAGTGTTTCTGCAGTGGCTTCTATGCTGCGCTAGAGATTTTGAATCTCCAGAATCCTAACAACACAGCTATACATTCAGCAGCACAAAAAATTCACAGTTTGCAGAAATGTTTTGAAGATGGGGGATGAGGGCAAACAGTATAGAATCATTGAACCATTGCAGTTCGGTCATTAACTTCAGACTTAAAACCAGGGTAAAGCAAACTGGGGAGAGAAGATAAGGAACGGGCGGACCCTCCTGTGTCCTAAACATGTTGCACGATCCTGCAGAGACCCTGCCAGGTCCCAGTGCCGTGTTTTCACCCAGCATTGAGGATTGACAAGAACGGCAGAAGCCTTGTGTCCATTCCTGGGCTGGTAAAGTGTGGTCACACATTGGATTTTATTTGCTGGGTTGGGAGGCCGTGCTTACAGTCACTCCAGAAAGGAGCAAAGGGACCAAAGACAGGCCGGTCACTGCCCAACAACAGTGGGGTCTCTCAATGGACCTACAAAAGGCCGGGGTCTCTTCTGCCCCACCCCGGCTTCTCCAGGCCTCCTGACCAATCCGGAAGAACCGCGTTCTTTCTAACCAGTTGAATGTCCTGGTCATGGAATGCCAGACAGAATTAACTCAGTCCTTCAGTCCTCTCGTTATTAGAGGAGCCTTAGAAGCTCTGCTTGGCACTGAGCCCCTTTTTCCTGTCTGTAACACCCCCATCCTCCATTTGTCTCCTCCTTTGCCATCTCTGGGCCTTCTTATTCTCTCTGCCTGAGATACCTCTCCCTCCCAGCCCTCCCCTGCAGATGCAGGCCAACCCCACCTCTCCTCAGAACTTACCTGAGTCTTCACAGTGAGGGACCTGGACAGGACCTATTTCTACTCCTGTACATAGTAGGTCCTTACATCTCTGAGTTTGATTTTCTGGAGAGAAGGAGTTTGTGTGGAGGGCTGCCGCCCAGGAGGGCACGTGGGAGGGCAGTACAGGGAGCAGCAGGCCCTGGGTGGGGCAGGAACAGCTGGAGCCAGAGGTCCGACACCTAGTCAGGGCTGCCTAGGTGTCTGCCGAGCAGCTCCAGGCTGTGCGGGTCAGTAGATACTGGAGAGTGTGCAGTGCAGGGTGGTTGCTTGCTGGCATTTGTTCTTAAGAGTCAAGCTAATTTAAGATGATTTAGATGCTAAATTAAAACTCAAAGAAAAGCACATGTCATCCCATTAGTTCGGACAGCATAGGAAGTATCATTTGCTTCCATTAGACACTCACTGTAATCTTGCAATTGAATGTCTCTGCAGTGGCACATCCACATCGTGACCAAGTCACTGTACTCCTAATAGTTCTTATTATGTGTTTGTGCGTGACCTTTCGGGGGTGCTTTGCAGAGCACGCAGGCAGATGTTCTCGTCCGCTCACGGGTGGCTGGCCCTGATGTGAGAGTGGTGGTTGCGCTCAGAGACCCTTCGACGGGCATAGCTGTTCCCTGGCCCCTTGTGGGAATCTGGATTTGTCTTGTCCCAAGATCCAAGAGTACAGAGGTTCTTTTATAGCTGTCTCCGTCTTGTGAAGAGGGCCAAGGAAGGAGCGTGTGGTAACGGGGGCACGGAGAGGCCCACAGCCCGGGCAGGAGTGAGGTGCGGTGAGTGGCATCTGGTCTGGAGACCTGGCCATGGGCGGAGTGGGCTGACGGTGCAGGCCTGGCTTGTGCGGCCTCCCCTCCTGTCCACCCGGCCTGTGTGCCCTGCGCTCTTCACTCACAGCTCAGGGGGTGTCGTGTCTGTAAGAAAGCCCTCCCTCACATGTCCTTCTAGTTTACCAAAGTGTCTTTTTAACTCTTAACTGCTCTTACCCACCGAACCTTTCTTCTGGAACTTACCATTTGAGTCTCCCAAGCTTTGTCTTGGAATTGCTTGGCTCAGGAATCGCCACATCAACTCCTTAGGTGAGGGGGACGTGTGTGGAAATGCAGACACATTCTTGTGTCCTTTGTCCCTCACGACCAGTCCCTGTCTGATGGACCCGCCAAGGCGCCAGCCCATTTTCTCACCGGTTTCTCATAATTGGTCTTTCTCATCCGCATTATCTTCATTTTCATTTATTTAACAAATATTTATTGAATGTCAGGTACGGTCTTAGACGCTGGGGATTTGGCAGTGAACAAAACAGATGGAACAGACACCCCACCCCACTACCACCCGGTGCCATCCTGGAGCTCCTATTCCAGAGTGTGTGTGGGTTTGTGTGTGTGTGTGTGGAGTGGGGGTAGCAAGTGTGAGCAAATACTGGAGCAAGATGCAGTGTGTGCCTGGAGGTGGCCAGGGCTCCAGAGAGGGTCACAGTGGGCCTGTAGGAATCCTGGGGTCCCCTCAGCTGGCCTCTCTTGGAGGATGGGAAGGTCAGCAGTGGAGAGGGAGGCAGGGTCAACCAGGCTGGACACAAGGGCAGGCCACCAGGCACAGGGCAGCGGAGCACGGGTGGGTCTGCACTGGGGGCAGCCGACATGGCTTGGGGTGTGCACAGGCAAGTCACCTGCTCCCGTCTGCCCTGTGAGTCCCACAGCCTGACCGTGACCTGGAGCTCAACCCCACCTGCAGTCACCTAAACGACTGGGCCTGGGGTGTCCTCTTCCTTATATTGGCAGAGCCTTGAGGTGTTGTGTGAATGGTAACAGTTGGAGCAGATCCATCAGTTCAGTTTGCTCAGTCAAGGTTACGTGACATCTTAACCTGTAATTTTTTTAAGTAGGCTTTGATGGTTTTGCCCTTCACACCAAAAATGTAAAACCACCTCCCCTCCCCTCGGACAGAGGCTCCTAAAACACATCCATGACTAAATACAGCTTCATGTCTCCCTTTCTTCAGATCCCCGCTGGTTTTTCTGCATTAGAGTCCTTTGATCACCTATTTGTGCTGGGGGTTTGTGGAGGAGTCCCCCTGGGCCAAAGTCAAGGTGCTCCCAGGTCTCCCCTGGAGCCTCCAGGGGAGAATCTATTTCCTTGCCTTTTCCAACTTCTAGAGGCGCCACATTCCTTGGCTCATGGCCCCTTCCTCTGTCTTTCAAGCCAGCTACTATGGCCTCTTTCTCATGTTGCATCCCTCTGCCCCTCTGCAGCTGAGAAAGATTTTCTGTTTTTCAAGACACGCTGTTGACATTGGGCCCATCTGATATCCCAGGACACTCTCCCCAGCTTGAGATGATCAGTTTAACCCGTCTGCAAAGCGCCTCTTGCCTGTGGCAGGACACACCCATGGGCCTGCCGACGGGCACACCTCGGGGGCAGTGTTCCTCCCAGCATGTAGCAGGCTGCCGTCAGAGTGTGCAGCTAAGGTTTCCGAGAACTTTCTGCCATCTTCTACTGTAAAAATTGTGCTTACCTGCTTTTCCACTGATGAGTTCCTCGTTAAAGAAATAGAACTCTTGCTTATCAAAACCTCGAATGCTATTTTAAAGCCACAGATTGTGTTTTCATAAGGACTCCGAGCCCGCCTTCCCCAGGTGGGCAGCCTCTCCTCTTTCTGTAGACCCGCACCTCCTCCTTCAGCTCTGACACTGTTGGGGGAGGCAGTGGGCTGGCTGGGAGCTGTGGTCATTGTTGCCCCTCTGCTCATGGCCCACAGGTGACCCTGGGAGGTGATGTAATGGCATATAATTTAAGGAGGGTTGGGACACAACCCCAAGTAAAAATTCTCACAACTTATGGCAGCTCACTGTCATGAATATGAAGCCTCAGAAATCCCTACCCCCACACCCCCATCTTGACCTTCAGGATAGCGAGGCACCAGCCTGCCTTCCAGCTGCTGGAGCACCATGTAGGCTGGGTGGGAAGTGGGCCTGTATGTGTGGGGGTGCTCAGGAGTGGTGGGGTCACCCAAAGCCTGTCCCTGCAGGCCTTGCCTGGTCCCCACCTCCAGGCCACAGTCCAGGGCACTGTCCCAGGTTGTCACGGGTGACTTGTCTGAAACTTGATGTCGCCCCCCTGGGAGTTCTTTCACTGCCCTTCATCACTGTCTTCTCTCCTGACCACTACTCCTCACCCAGAGGTCTGCTCGACTCTGTGGAGCATTGGGTTTTGTAACTCACACGTTTCTACCATTTCTCAAATTCAGTGGTCAGCTCTTGGAGGTTTCTTCATCTCCCCCGACTTGAAATTGCTCCAGGGGCTCCTGGAAGAGCTGATGAACATGCCTGTAGGTTGAGGACATGCCGCCATCACCTGCCCCTCCTGGCTGCCCCCATGTCTCCCCTGGCCCGTAAACCTAGAACAGCAGTGACTGCTGGGAGGTCTTTGAGTGCTGTACCTCCTGCTGCACGTCCCACTGTCTCTCCATCCCAGTGTTCTCAGGCATGCCTTTGGCCACGTCCCCACACTCACCTTCAGAAACTTGAGCTGGTTTGTGTTTTCCTGTAAGGCTTAAAAAGCCATCTTTGTGTCCAAGATGTGGATGTTTGAGGGAAGAGCCTTGTGGGTGTAGTGGAACAACCTGATTGCACACATACACATTCTCACCTGCTCACACTACACATACAGTTGCCAACCAGATGTTACTCCAGAATGATGCACGAGACAGATGGACCCCACAGCATGGAGTGCAGTCCTGGGTTGACCACGGTTCACACAGCCATGGTGGAGCCTGCATGCATGGCACTCGCTCTTGTGCTTGTGCCCATAACGGTGCTGACAGTGTCTGCTTTCTCTCTCCAGGTGCTGCAGGGGGCCCAGCTGATAGCCGTGGCTTCTTCAGACCCCACTGCTGCAGGGGTGGATGGATCGCCTCTTCAGGGAAGCGATATCCAGGTCCAGTACGTCCAGCTGGCACCAGTGGCTGACCACACTACAGCAGCTCAGGTGGGTCGTGCCTGTGTCTGGACAGGTCCTGGGTCATCTGCAGGTGTGAATACAGCTTGGGTACTTCTAGTTCTCGTGTTCTTACTGGGAGGAAGGTAGTTACCATTGCAAGATGCATAATTTGGACATACACACTCACTTGGGATTATATATTTTTTAAGTGCCTAAAAACGTGTTGGTGAGAAGCTCAGTCCTGGCGTAGGTGCCAGTCTTAACCTGATTGTTGAGCTATTCTGCCTCATGCAAATATTTGTCTATATGTTCAGGGGCAAAAATTTAGTTCTGCTCAATTCTTCTGCATAAGTGAGGGGACCTTATTGACCTGAGACCTCACTGCTCCTCTGTGTGGGACAGCCCTCGGCCTCCACCCTTTTCCCAGGGGCAGGTTTGGGAAAAGGGCACTCACTTGCCTCTGAGCAGCCCTCTGCTTGGGGTGGAAGTGCAGAATGGCCTGGCTCACCAAGGTGCTTGCATTTGGTCCTGGGGGCACCGGGTGGCCAGGTTTCCAGCTTTCCACACCATATTCTAATGTGGCAGCCTGACAGCCTTGTCGAGAACTCTGCATTTGTAAGGCTCACCCGTGTTTGTTACACAATTAGCCTGTCTGATTGACCGTGAGCGCTGATGAGCTTCCCACAGAAGCCTCTCATCATCTGGTTTTGCTGGATTTCCTCCTAAGCTGTCCCTTATCCGTGCTTTCCCAGGGGCACTAGGAACTCCAGCATTCACACTCCATTTGGGCACTTTCTAAAATGTCGGAGGAGAGGGCTGCTTCTTTAGATATTTGAAGGGTTCGTGGAGCTGCCCCACGGTGAGTATGCTTCGTGGAACGAGTGTCATGACCTCTCCTTCAGAGTTCTCTGGGTGTGGGGGACCCAGACCAGCCCTCCCACCCCCTCATACCAGCGGGGAGAACTGGCAGCAGCCTGACAGCCCGAGCCTCTTTAGGGAACAGTGTGAGTGGGTTCTGTCTGGTTGGCCGGCTATGTTTAGAACAACCAATACTAAAGTTAGTGTGTGTTCCGTTTCACAAGAGCAATCACAGGCCTGGCCCCAGAGGGCAGCCGGTCTGTTGGAACAAAGCACAAGACCGCCGGTGCTGTGGGTGACAAAGATGTGCTAGCTGCTTGAATTCTCAAACCTCAAAGGCTGTAGGTTTAAATCACTAACCTGACTGCTGAGATCAAGATGGTGCCAGTGCAATGCAGGGGCTTTTTCAGGTCCATGGGAAGCCTGGGGTGGCCTCAGAGCACCCTGCCCCCAGGGCCCTGTTGGTGTTCCGTTAGCCGAGGGGGGGTTGGCTCCTGCCCTGCCCTCTGGCTCATTCCACATTCCTCTCTGGGTCTGCTCCTTTCCCGTCTGTGGTCCAGCACTGATGAGCCTCGTGTGTCCCGATGCCATCAGCCTTTGACATTTAGATTTAGAGCCCCACATTTCCAGGTGGTCCCCCTTCCCTCTCACACTCTGCTCTGCTCTGTGCTCCCTCCATAGCCCTTGGAGGAAAGGAAATTCTCATTTGGTTCATTTGCAGCCTCATGAGATGGTTGCTGAGGAATGGGGCCCCACAGAGCCAAGTAGGTTGCCCCAAGGTGACCCCGGTGGCCAGCTGGGTGAACTCAGCAGTCCTGTGAGGACTTAAAATCTCAGTCTTCTGATTCACAGTGAGGCCCCAGTTGGCCTGGAGTTCGGGAAGGTGTGTCCTGAAGGACCTATGCTTCTGACCCCTCCAGCCACTCCCACAGCCCAGGCCCGTCCCACTCGGGGGGCTGGGCTTTAACACAGCAGGGACTGTGGGGGCCCCTTCCGCTCTGGACACTGAGAAGGACGAGACATGGCCTGGAGCCAGGGAGGGGTGTGTGCGTGTGGGAAGATGAATTCTCCCCAGCCAGCTTTTTGCCTGACCTCCACATTGTTGTGAAAGGATTGTGTGTAGAGGCAGTTGGCTCACTGCTGCAGGGCAGGCACAGGAGGTCACATGGTGTGTGTGCTGCAGGTCTGGGGCCGTGTGCGGGGTCATCTTACTGGATGGTAGGCTGTGGTTGTTGTGCAGACTCCAGGACTGAGGAAAGCTATGTCCATCTTAGCCTTGCCACCGTGGCCTCCTGTTAGTGGTCTTTGTGTCAACTCACACCTGGCAGGTCTCAAGACCCATCTAAGTAGGACAAATAGCAACAGAGCAGTAAACGAGATGCACGCCTACTGCCTGGCCTGAAGCCTTTCTCCTCCCTCCCTCTACCTGCAGCCACCAGCACTGTCCAATCCACTCTTCCCTGTACAGAACTTGGGGGAAGACCCCACCCCTATCTATCACAGGGCATCCCTTTTTCATTGCTCTCACCCAGCCACCCTGTGGGCTCTGTACACAGTGCACATGACGCCTGTGCTGAGTCCTTCCTCTGAAACCGGGAGGCCTCTGCTTCAAGGAAACTGTGTTGAATGTGTGCATTTCAAAAGTGCAGCCTAAACTGCAACAGGAGTTGTAGCTCCAGCTCCCATATCCAGGAACTTCTGCCTTCCAGTCTTGGGGGCTTCCTTTGTCTCTTTCTTTTTGGCCCACATGCCAGGCCCCTCCAGCTAAATTTCCAGCCAGGAAGCCCACCTCTGAGAGTCTAGTCTTTGACATCACCCTTGACAGATGGCTAAGGGAAAATCCCCAAATCTCCATTCGAGGTCCAGTTCTGCATGGTCAAAGTGGATGATTGGTGACTTATTTCAAGATTGTATTTATCCCTTTAGTGTACCTTAAAATTGTGAATATGCATTTAAAATCCTCTTAATATCTGAAACTCATTGTTTAGAATTTACATCTTTTTAAAAAATATTTATTTTTAGAGAGTCAAGAAGGGCGAGAGAAAGAGGGAAAGAAACATCAATGTGCAGTTGCCTCTCACACGCCCCCTACTGGGGACCTGGCCCACAACCCAGGCGTGTGCCCTGACTGGGAATCAAACCAATGACCCTTTGGTTCGCAGGCTGGCGCTCAACACACTGAGCAACACCAGCCAGGGTCAGAACTTTTGTCTTTAAAGGGAAAAAGGTAGCTATCCCTAAAATGCTTTTATAGAACAGTTTTTTTTTATAAAAGGCAAAATGGTAACTGAAATTCTAGGCAAATAGGTTAGGTTAATGATGTGTTAACCACTTCAAGAGTATTTCCCAGTGACAGTAGCAGATGGGAATAGGAAATCAGCACCGCAGGCTTTAGGGAGGGTTGTGTGGGAGGCTCGGTCAGGGCCTGGGCAAGCAGAGGCTCCATGAGGAGGGACCACAGTCTGGGTTCGTCAGAGCTGCTGCTAGCTGCTCAGGTTCTGGGAGTCATCGCTCAAGGCAGGGGTGAACGGAGCACCCTCCCAGCTCTGCTGCATGTTTGCTGTATGCGTGGAAACCACTGATGTTTGGATCAGTGAGTGTCCTAGACTTGAGTTGGTGGGTACTTTTATAGAAAAGCCCTCCTCTCTCCCCTCTTGTAGACGGCTGAGACACTGCAGCCCACCCTGCAGCCCGAAATGCAGCTTGAGCACGGAGCCATCCAGATCCAGTGATGCAGGACAGGCTGCCCAACCATGACAGGACCCAAGATGGCGCTATCGCTGCTCTCAGTGCCCGGTGCAGCCAACCTCTCAGTTCGACAGGCGCCCCGACCCCACGGCTTCGCACGGAGGTGACTGCACGTATTCTGTTGAAGTGCATCCTGAGCCTCGTCCACAGGGGATAGTGTCCCGATAAATAAACAGATGATAGCAACAACCACCGCCCCTGGCAGAAGACCCCTTTCGTTTGAGTCACACTGTTGGCATCTGGAGAAAGAGTGGGGAAGCACAGTGTGGATTGCGTTAAGTACATGCAGAAAATCAAGAACCACAATATTTTTCTCTGTTTAAACAGCTTTTTTTAATTTGCTATGGTGTTTATAACAAAAAAGAAAATTGAAAAAAAATGGAGTAGCAGAAGCCTTTTGCTGTGTGCTCTGTTCAGTGTAATGAAAATAGGTATTTGCAAAGACAACTAACGATTTTGATGGAAATATTGCTTACTTACTTTTCTAGGGGAAATGCTCTCAACACTGTAATTAAGCATTTCTAATGAAATAAAATGTATTTATGACCACAGCAGCTTTAATGTTATTTCCTTTTAAGAGATGGTTTACCCAGGCCAGCCTTTCTCCCAGTGGGTACTCAGGGGTCACCCAGTAAGCCCTTTCAGTTGTGCTGACAGTACTTGCGGGGTCCTCGCAAAGGAAGGGTTGGGGGTGCTTCTGTTGGCCCATGTAACGGCCGGAGCGTCAGCTCCCCCAAATGCAGAACACTGCCTGATGGAGTGTTCCCTTGGACACAGGAGTGGGAGCCTGTTTCAGCATTGCAGGTGCTGTCGAATGACAATGACCTTCTCCAGCTCTAGAAGGTTGCAGCTCCAGGGCTTCTTAGAAAAAGTCCTGCCCAGAGGAGCCTGCCTCATTGTCCAGAGTGAAGGAACAAAGGCAGGGAAAACTGTTCCAAACACAAACACAGAGGGAGTAGCTTTACATGTGACGTGCCTGTGGGCCTGCTGCTGTCACACCATTCGGGCAGTTACATCCATGGGATGCAGGAGATTCCCACAACAAAACTGCATTCACTGACGGAGTGCGGTTGCTCCATGCTTTTTCTGGGAAGCACTCAAAATCGCCATTCCAAAGCCATGCCTCTTCCTGTTCTATCCCACGAGGGTTCCCGGGTTGAGTGGCTTCTACCAGGGCATGCTGAGGGGTGGGGGGGCAGCTCTCCACAGTGGGACAGCATGTCACATTCCATGCCTTCGTTCATCCTCCAACAACTGGCATCATGATGTGAAGACTCAGGACCTCCCCGGACAGTCACCTGAGAGCGGTTGTTCTCGAGGAGGTGGAAATGGGAAGAAAGAGCAGTCACACTGCTGGACAGAGAAAGTCTGACTAACATGTGTCTGGAATCCCAGGTGGAGGGAGTGGAGACAACAGAAAAAAGATGACATTTAAAGGATTC